TGGCCCAGTAGCCAAGGAAGGGATTGGTGGAGATGGCGAAGGGCTTGGCGCACTGCTAGGGGCTGCACTGCTGCTTAGTATACCTGTAGAAAGTCTAACACCTTGTCCACGAAGTTCGTGTTCGCCTCCTGGCGGTCCAGAAGAGAAGGAACGACTCATTATTGCAGGTGGGCTTCCTGGAGGTGTTGGTGGGCTGCCGGGTGTTGCACTGCTGCTTCCTGTATCTGTGGGCTGCCTCGAACCTTCTGGACGCGCTTCCCCGTCTCCTTCTTCCGCTGGCCCAGTAGCCAAGGAAGGGATTGGTGGAGATGGCGAAGGGCTTGGCGCACTGCTAGGTACTGCACTGCTGCTTGGTATACCTGTAGAAAGTCCAACACCTTGTCCACGAAGTTCGTGTTCACCTCCTGGCGGTCCAGAAGAGAAGGAACGACTCATTATTGTACGCGGGATTCCTGGAGTTGTTGGTGCGCTGCTGGGTGTTGGACTGCTGCTAGCTATATCCGTGGGACGCCATAAACCCTGTGAAGCTGGTTCTCCTCCTCCCTGCGCCGACCCAGGAATCAGGGTACTGTTTGGCGCGAAGCGACTCCCCACAAGCGTTAGTGAGCTGCCGGGTGCTGCACTCCTGCCTGGTGCATCTGCGGCCTGTCCCCATCTTTGTAAATCATGTCCCCTCTCCCCACCAGTTGGCGCTTCGCTACCGGGTGCTACATTGCTGCTTGCCATATCGATGGGCCGCCTCAAACCTTGCGTATAGGGTCCTTCTCCTCCTTCTGCAAACCCTGTAGCCGCCGAACGGCTTTGTGCAAACTGCGTCTCCGATGGCGTTCCTGCGCTGCTGGGTCCTGTACTGCTGCTTGCTACATCAAAAGGCCGCCTCAAACCTTGCGAATATGGTCCCCCTTCTCCTGCAAACCCAGTGGCCGCCGAACGGCTTTGTGCAAGCCGCAACTCCAAAGGCCTTGCTGCGTTGCTGGGTCCTGCACTGCTGCTTGCCATATCAATGGGCCGCCTCAAACCTTGCGAATATGGTCCGCCTTCTTCTGCAAACCCAGCTGTCGCCGAACGGCTTTGTGCCAATTGCGCCTCCAATGGCGTTCCTGCGCTGCTGGGTCCTGCACTGCTGCTTGCTACATCGACGGGCCGCCTCAAACCTTGCGCATATGGTCCGCCTTCTTCTTCTGCAAGCCCACTGGTCACCGAACGGCCTTGTCCAAACCGCAACTCCAAAGGCCTTGCTGCGTTGCTGGGTCCTGCACTGCTGCTTGCCATATCGATGGGCCGCCTCAAACCTTGTGAGCGTGTTTCTCCCTTTCCTCCGTCTGAGAATTCAGTACTCAAGAAACGACTGAATAAAGGAGATGGCGTCTCTGGGGCGTTCGCTGCGCTGTTAGGAGCTGGACTACTGCCTGTTTCATTTGTGGGCCGTTTCCCAAATTGTGAATAATACAGCGCTGCTCTCCCTCCTGTAGATTCAAAAGTAGAAGGACGACGAGTTGGTAGGTCTGAGCTATGCGGAGTGACGGGCGACTCTCCAATGCCGCCTTCCCCTTTTCTCCTCTGTGCCTGGGCATGTTCGTTTTCTTGTTCTCTCCGCGTTCTCTGATTATCTTTCTCTGGATCCGGTCTCTCCTGGAAGTCTGCCACTTTGGCTGCTCTCGATTGCTCCTTCACGTGCTGACCGAAATAACCACGTCCCCCCGTTTCCTCCACAACCGCTTCTGTTTTACTGGGTTTTCGTTTTTTCTCGACAGCTGCAGCACCAAGGGCTCCTATGCCATCCTTCCTTGCCCGAGATTCGCCAGAGGAGCCGGCGCGCTTGTCGTTAACGTGGGCTCTCCTTACGATCGGCACCTTTGCCTGTTGTTTATAGAAGTTGGGATTATCTCGAAAGAAGAGGTTGAAAAAAGCGTCTTCTTCCAGCACTTGCAGTTCAGGCAATCCGCCTAAAAGATCGGGAAACTCCTCGACAATTTCGTTTGCCGAAATTCTCTTGCTTCGCTTGGGTTCCAACAGCCTTTTGATCAGGCTTTGCCACCTTCCGTGTATTCCCCTGTACTCCATGTCTACAGTCAAACTCTCTGGAGAGGCATGCGTGCCCAGTTGTAGAACGTAAGCGACGGACTCCTCATTGGCAGGGACCCCAGAGAGGCCGAAGGGCAGTTCCCCATCCATCATGATCTCATACAGAAGGATTCCAAGACTCCACAGGTCCGATTTCGCGTCTGCAATGGGCTGAAACTCGCAGTCATCGGTGCACACGATGTTGCCTAGCAGCTCTGGCTCCGTGTATACCGGAGAAACGCCTACATCTCCAGGGATCACAGTATTAAAAGGAACACTGGACTCAAACCCAAACAACAAGACTGAGCCGTCTTCCTGTACTGCAAAGCTGCTGCTGTTGATCTGATTGCTGCTCCACCCCGCATGCTGCAAATGCAGAACTGTTTTTAAGACACGGCTAGCCAAATATGCCCTCGTGCCCGTCGGCACTAAACCCAAGGCATCTATTACATCTCGTAAGGTAACCTGAATGGTGTTCATCACCTCGACTGTGGAGAGAATGCTCAAGTCCTTCGCGTGTAGCACATCCGGCATGCCCCGAATCTTTGCAATTGCAGAAACTGCAGAGATGCCTTTCTCATCTGCTACATCAGCAAGGGGAGTGCTGCCTCGCACTCCAAGGATCGCCTGGGCTGTACGCACCATTTGAGCAGAGACCGTTCTTTCCCCCGTTGCGAAAATCGATGGGTGTTCGTCTTTCGGCAGTACGTTGATCCGTAATGCTGAGTGCTGGCGTGTTTTCACGTCCTGAACAGAAACAAGGATGCAGTAATCGCCCTCGCCAATGAACTTGGTCACCAAGTGGGGTCGCGGGCCTTGCAAAGGTTTGCCGGTTCCCACTTCGGTGACGTTCTCTAATTCAATAGTCATCCCGATCAACTTCGTCGATTGACCACTAGACACCACCTTCGCCACCTCCCGCATTATCGAGCGCGCCCGGTGTGAAGGTACAGCAGGGTCCTCCTCTTCCAGTTGATTCACCAGCTCCCACAGTACACCCCGCACCACTTGCACGTTTGGAGAAGCCCTCTCCTCTGCAGAGTGTACAGGAGGCGCTTGCCAAGAAGGTTCGATGGGTGGAACAGCCGGAAGAGTTGGAGGATGGCGTTTCACGAGGTCAGCCCAAGTGGCCTTCTTCTGGTGCGCCTTGATGCTCGCGAACGTCAGACATCCAAATACCAAAAGAGTAGGCAGGGTGATCGCGGCAAAGGTCAACAAACTCGACTTGCGGCGGGATCGAAGTGTCTCGGACAAAGACAGCACTTCTTCCGAGGTAAATACATCTTCTTCGCCGACTTCCTCTAATTCTTCTTTTGCAGTTGGGCCTTCCACTGCCTCTTCCACCTCCACGACATCAGCGGCCTGAGAGTAATTTGGAGCATCTGCCGTAGGATTCTGAACTTCTTCTTCCATTTGTTGCTGTTCCATTTCCGAAATATGTTCGAGAACGCCGCAGAAGATACGCGAACGTCAACATGTATGAGGCAATGCGGGGGTGCAGATCATACAATTGAAGTTTGGACGTACGCGCGGCTTAGTCTCCGCTTCTGAACAGTGATTTACACAGTGAGAACGACACCGCTCCAGAGGACTTCTTGCGAGAGTTGAATTAAGGGTAATATCCCCAACTGCTAGGCGTCTCCCACGAATTACTGCATTTGGGTAGATCGAGGCGAAGGGACGGACAAAGAATGAAGAACGAAACATCCAAGGGGAAAACGACTCCACCCCATTCATAAAACACTTCCTTTAAATTTTAAAAGCACTTACTATGTCGTCTTCGCCAGAAACGAACGGATAACCGCTTCCAAGGAACGCTTTGCTCAAGGAAGCGTACGGGAGTTGGTGACACTGCAGTTGGTCTCACCAGAAAGCTATGAAATGTAACAATGCTCCCCCTAAGTCGAGAGATGTTCAAAAAATAAAAAACGCTAAGCCGACGATTCGTAGCGTAACTCCTCCAGAAGTGCCGCCGTCCAACGTCCGGCAGACGGAGACCCACGGGCCTCCTAATCAACGAAAGGAATTCAAAAACAATCGTAAATGGCCAAATATGTCATTCAGTGCGATATCTATGCTTCAACAAGAGGAAAAACACACAAAAGTTGAGAAGGGTCGGCATCTGCTTCCACAGCCCGCTGTGAACGCGATCGAAAGCCAGCGCTATCGAAAGACAGCCATTGCACCGCTCGGCTGGAGAGGTCAGCTTGTTGCTTTGCCTTCAGAAGTTCTTGATCTCCAATTCATTCTTTTACTCTGGGCAATTTAACAATTCAACGGTTGAAAATCCGGAGGGGAGATGAGCCTTCTTGCATACGAACCAAAAGACAAACAGAAATACTCTAAAGGCCCGTCGCTCAGCACTGCAAGACCATTCATTTTCTACAGGAGAAGCAATATACATAATCATGCGGAATATACGATACTGGTTGTTCTCTAGGCAGCATATAACGGTGATGCGGGGAGTAAGTTATGCCCCGCTGTTATGGAGAGTTCCCGGCAAACGGATGAGGTGTGGGCGGCCAGCTCGCTTCTTCTCAATAGAACAAGTGGTGCTAGCAAATTCACCGCGATCTCCCAACCCTATCAGGGGCAGAGGGTGCAATGGAATGAAAGCAATTCCTCATCCTATGGGTTGCAATGCCTCTTGCTGCAACTAATGGTCTTAGGCAGACCCACATTCACGCACAAACAGGTCTTCTTCGCTGCATGCAGAAACACTGTAGATAATTGTAGAAGGCTTCTGCTTGCGCGCTGATTGCATACTATGCCCGTTAAGAGTTCATGTGCAAACGTTCTGCCGAAGGTAGGACATATCGCTCTACACCTGATTACACTGTAACACCATTTTCAACAACTTTCCCCTCGACAGTGCAGCACAAGAAACAGCCGTAAAGCGTGAGGGAAGAGGATCCCTATAGGCCCATTCACTTCCACGCCGACAGAAAAGGCACGTGAGGACTTGAGCTACCAACGGTTTAACTTCCGTTGGCACAAATTTATACCACAGGTTGGCTCCTGAAGGGCAGGAGAGTGTTCGACAAATGGATAAACTGCTGGTACAAGCATCTAAAGGTGGCCTAGGTACGCTTGCAAGTGAACCTATATCTCATAAACGGTTGCAGTGACGACCGTTTATAGCTGGTTACCAGCAGCCTTCTCCCTGCAATACTTCCAACCTCCTGGGTTGCCATGCCTAGGAATTCTGAGGAATGCATACGGTACAGGTGGTTCGTGAGAACTCTTGTCTCATGTATTCTCACTTTGGCAGCTCATGACTGCCTCCTGATAATGTAGCTAGCTCTATTTACAAGAAAGTGGGAACGCTGGGCGCGGGCATTTCCATGCTCCATACTGATTGATGAACACCATCCTAGGCTGTTGTTTAAATGTTGACAAGGTCTTATAAACAAATACCTACAAAGGATGGGCGAGCAGACGGACATCAGAGACATCTATCTGCCTTGTTCAGGATGTTTTGAGAACTAGCAAAGGTATTTTGGAGCGGCTCAAAATGTTGGCAGCAGAGGAGAGCGCAACTGCGTACCTTTTAGAAAAATGAGAGAAGGCATAGCACTTCCTTACATACAGTTAAGAATCCTAGAATGGGAAAACCGACCGAAGACTCTTGATATTTCACTGATGGAAGATGAAGCATACGAGCAGGACGGGAGCGCCTCAACAATCTCTTTTAAAGCCATTGCTAACCTGCTGATCGCCGTTCATTGAAAGGAAATGTGGAATCTGATCTTTTATCTCTGTTATTAGTCACCTCTTTCCTTGATCGCAGAAGCTAACTGACTAACTGAAATTCACTAAACCTTTAATATGAGTCTTGTCGTGTACAGGTCTTTTCAAATATTTGTTTCCTTGGGCGTGGAAGGAGGGCAACTAATTGTTACGCATCAAACCCTATAGATGAATTTTATGTTTTATCTGTTAAGATAAAACATAGATTGTCTTTATATCTAAGACGACCCTCTCTAATGGATGTTCGTTACCTTCTGTATCGAGGGTGCTGGATATGATCTGAACACTATAGGGAGTTGCAATGTGACCAAAATATTTAAGGCGACGGTTTCTTAAATGCAACTGATCCCCTTCCGCAGTCTCCAGACGTCCTCAGTTCAGCCTCTCGAGCGCCTGTAGAGTCGGAGAGGAAGCGATCTGCCATGAATTGCAAGTTCCCTAGCTGAAACTAAAGATGCAAGACAGGCCCGCATGCAAGCACAAGCAAGCCTTCTTGGATGTGCGTAGAGACATTGCAGACAGTTGTTGAAAAATTTTGTTTGCCTAGGGTTTGTCTATGAGGGCCAAGTGAGGGTTCATGCGCTCACTTTAGACAAAGTTGCCGACATTCAAGAGTGTATGCTACACCGGCATTTAGAAAAAAAGTGGCACATGATATCAGAGAATAGCCCTACAAGCATTGAGCACGACCCAGTGAAATAAAACAACATATACAAGTTTTTAATTTAATCTGATTCTGTTTTATTTCAACATTTATTGCCATTTCCATGTTCCTCGTTGTCTTGAGCCTCCGGTAGGAACGCCTGCACGGCGTGCTGGTTGCACCTCTCCATACAGCCAGCGCCCATCGGCAGCTCTGGAGGAGTTTTGAAGGCAACTTCACTCCAGTATATACATTTTTGCCATTTTTCACATTTGATGCAGTGCAGCCTCTGCAAACGGGTAGCTAGCAACGAGGAACCGCTGTGGGGCTGGCTGTGGCTGGGAGACCCAGAGCAGCATCAGCAGCTTTGCGCGCATGAGCTGCTGCTGCTTGCGCTTTCTGCTGAAATGGCGTATAATCTTTGTTTGTGATCATCTGTTTGTGTTTGCATCCTCTCTTGGTGCAGCTGCTGCACATCGTAGTTTCTCCTTCGTTTCTCCGTCTTGCAGCCCGCTGTCCTGTAGCTGTTCCCAGCACTGGAGCACTGCACAGGTGAAATGGCCTTGAACTGGCTAATCTTGATCCCATCTGCACTGGCTGGCACAGCTGTAAAGGGGCTTGCTGAGGCCTGAAGGCAGCAGCAGCAGCTGTAACAGCAGCAGCTAGATCAGCGGGTGCCGTTTAGGGACCGCCTGCCGTTGCCTCCTCGCCCTTCTGTACACTGTATGAACACTCAGCTACAGCAGACGGTGCGAGCTGCCCTCTCCTTGCCTTTGTTTATGTTATTTGCGCACTTGCATCTCCCGTAAGATTGTATCTTGCATAAATAAGTACACATATTTACCCCTTACATATATAATATAGCATACATAATATATATCCTGTAGTATTCCTGTCTTGTAATGATCTTCGCTCCTAACGGCCAGTCTTATCGCCCACTCCAATTATCTCGTTTTCAGTGTACAGCCAAATGGAGCAATTGCAGCAGAGCGCACTAGGGCCCTTGAGGCCTTAAAGCCGGGCGTATCGAACGCGTATCGAACGCTGTTATCTCCATTGAACCAACAGCAGCAGAAATAGCAACAGTAGCAGCGGCAGTAGTGGTAAAAATCCGTCCGTCCTCCCTAGCAGCGAAGGGCCCTCACCATCACCGGGGTATATCTCGTCGGTTCTCTCCAGAGTTGATTTGAATATATTAATTCTCTTGACCTCATTTCTCGAGACCCACTCCGTGTGCAGCAACGGGAGCTGCCTTTTGGGTGTCTCTCTGCACAGTGTGCATCAAGAATCTTGAGCAGGTGTAAGCAGCCGAGAGCTGGAAACAATGGCGGATGCGCCGCTTTCTACGGCACCTGTGCCTGCCTGTGAGGGCAGCAGCAGCACGAAGGGGGCTAATTGTCGCATGATGCCAGGGGAGTTTGCGTTTGATCGCTTTAAGGAGTTGCTGCTCTCGGAAGGCCCCCAAATCCCAACCGACCAACTCCAAGACTTTGGTTGGCAAATTCCGCTCATCACCTCCTGTGATCCCTCTCCTTTCTGCATCACCAAGGAAATCCTCTCTTTTGAACCCCAAGAAGATGACATCTACAAAATTTTCTTTCGAGACACTTCGGTCAGTCGGTGGACAGACGAACTGAGTTGGTACTTGTGGGGTTCGGCTTTTCCTAGTACTGCCGCTCTCTGCTGCTGTTATTGTTATTGCTGTGTTCTATTATTTGCTGCTCTTTTTCTGCCATCTGTTGCTGTTTACGCCTTTTGTTTGTTGCGTGCTGTTTGCTGCCTGATGTTGTTGTCGATTGTCGTTTGTCTGCTTTTTTTGCCATTGTTGCTGTGGTGTTCGTTGTAGCTGCCGCTGCAGCTCCTACTGCTGCTGTTCTTGTCCTCTATAAGCTTCAGCCTCTTTGCATGCAACATGGAGACGTCAGCCTGATACGCTGGCCGTCTGGGCTTGCGGGTCGCACGCAGCCAGCTTGCTGTTGCTGCATTTGCTGGTAGTGCTCCTTCGTTGGTGCTAGCACTATCCTAGCTGCTGCTGTCACTGCATTATCTGTTGGTATTGTGGCTACCCATCTGTGCCGCAACAGTGGCTGCCATCGTTATTGCTGCAGTCGCTGCAACTGCTTCCGTGCTGTTTGCATCATAGCATCCGCTGTCGCTGCTGCGCTTGTTGCTGCTGCAGAAGGAAGTGCGGATACGGCAGGTTTTTCTACACACTGCTTTGACGGCCCAGGAGCAGCAATGGTTGAAGGAGTTTCGCGACTACTGCACCCAAGAGAACTGGCCGATCCCTTTGTTTTTAGAGCCGATGCTTCTGCGCATTATTTGGCTGGCTTACAGAAAGTGGGGTGATAACATCATCGCCCGGAGGTAATTGAAAGAATGCAACACAACGCACATAATGAACGAACGTAGTGTGCATATAGCCGTCAAAAGTAGCTACCAGCAGCAACAGCAGCAGCAGCAGAAACAGTAGCAGCAGCAGATGCGCAGGTGGGTGGGTGCGGGTATGTGTGGGTGGGTGCTGGTGCACTTGCGTCTATTTCCATTTGTCCATTTGTGTGTGTTTCAATTCCTCCATCTGTTTCATTTTCTGGCGGATTTGGTTTCAGTTTTGAATTGGCCAAGAGCATGGTGGAGTGGCGCCAGGGGTTTTTGCCGCTGAGCGACAAGGAAGAAGAACTGAAGGCGATGATGGAGACAGGCGTCATGTACTGGTCAGGGAGGGACCGCGCCTTGAGGCCTCTTCTTATCATCCGGTGAGTAGCAGGAGAGCAGCACCGGCTCCTGCTTTGCACTTTGTTTTGTACTCGTCTTCACTCGTTCCTGCGTTTCGACAAATGGGTAGCTGCATTTGTTTGGCTTTGCCTTTGCATGCCACCGTTGTGTTGACTGTGTTTGCCCATTTCTTTTGGTTTTGTGCGCCTTCGTTTTCAATTGTCTTTTGAGTCTGCATGCTTTTGTAGTTGCCCTAAACCCCTAACCTTTGTTTGCTCTGGGTTTGCCTTTGTTTTGGTCTTGCATGCGCTTCAGTATGGGGTCCGTTGTCTCTTGGTATTTGTCGGGGGTGTCTGGGCCGCTTGTGTTGTCACCTGCCTAGACACGCGAAAGTGTGTTTTTTGTTTATATAGGCTGTCGCGACTTCATAAGAACGCATCTCCAGAAATATTTAAGCGACTCACCATCTTTTGCTTTGAATGGGGGCTCCGCTATTTGAGTGAGAAATCAAACAGAAGGCGGGCAGCTTTTGTTCTTGTCTCCGCGCTCGTCGTGTACTTTGCTCTCGTTGTTTGTTCTTATTGTGTCTTGCTGTTCCTGTTGCTTTTCCTCTTTTCCTCGTGCTATTGATCGTTGTGGCCGCTGTTATTGATGATGCCTGCCACTATTGTCGTTATCGAGAGGTGTTCGTGCCCTGACTATCGGTGTTGTCTGTTGCCGTTGTTTTCGTTCTTGCCGTTGCTCTTGTTGTTTGTCCCATTGTCACTGCTGACAGTGTGCACGTTGTTTGAAGGAGCTGATGGCTTTCCTTTTGCATCCAGCAGTTCAGCGTTCAGTTGCCTCGACCTTTTTAATTGCACTACGACGAAGAGTTTCGTAGATTGTTGAATGGCAATTCATGGCACCTGATTTTCAGTTATTTATGCTTGTTAGGTTCTATTTGCAGTTGCTTTTGCTTTTTCTGCGGTTTTTCAGTGATTCCCGGGCACGTGGAGACCATCACTGCCCTCTTCGATGTGCGGGGGGTTCCGCTTCATCAGTTTCCTATTAGTGCATTAACAGATATGACCAGCACCCTCACAAAGCAATATCCTTTTAGACTTAACAGAATGCTTATCATTAACGACTCTTTCTTCGTACAGGTACATCTGCATACACCTAATGCTTCTTAATTTGGTGTTTTAAAAATATATATTTATATTGGTTTTTTCCCTTTGTGTTGGTTTTTTGGGTATGACGTACTCCTCGTGTTTGTTTATTTTCGTCCCCTCTGTTCGGTTTTGTTGCAGAAGTAACCAAGCTCATCCCCATATGCACGTATAAGTAGAGAAAACTGCAGTAGTGCAATATAGCAGCAACTAGCGATTGTTGTCTTGAGTTTGCTTCAGACGGTTTGGAACATTGCCAAGCAATTTCTGACGGAGGTGCAGCAGCAGAAGATGCTTTTTATGAGGTACTTACCTTCTGAGCATTTGCAGCTCGATAAAGTCATTAGACCGCCGTCCCTTCTAATTGTTCAAAATTATTTCACCCCTTGTAACTTTCTTCTAGCGAGTGGTTCGTAGACGTTTATATGATTTGGTGTACTTAAAGCCAGCCTTGTTACTTTTGCGGATAGTGCTGTGCTCATTTCTGTAGTGTACACCCGCAGGCGTATCTTTGTATTGTTTATACGAGGTCTTTGATCTCTCGTTGTCATGCATCTAATAAGAGCGCACAGTTTTGACAGCAATAACAATAATAGAAAAAGTAATAAAATAGGAGTGTTGCTAGTACTAACAAACGAATTCGTCTGTTTGAATGATTCAGATCTGGCTTTGAGGAGGAACTGCTCAAGGAGTATACTCCGTGGCAACTGGAGAAGTGTTACGGCGGCACGCGGCCAGAGGTGCGGTGTGTGTACGTTGTGCAGTGTGCTTGACTGCTTTATAGCTAAATGCTGCAGGAAGACTCAAGTTTCATTTTAGGCTCCTTGCTGCATGCCAACACGTATCTGTACCTGCACATACTTCTATCGAAAAAAACGGTGTATGCTTATATATATAGTGTATTCTATGTTTGGTTCTTTTTTCGCTTGCAGATAAGGACGTTTTACCCCTTCCCCGTGGCTCCGGGTCCTTATTCTATTGGCAGCGTGAGTTGTCTTCCGCTGTGTTGTTTGTAGATGCCCGCATAACAAGGGCAGGAGGAGAGTCAGTGTTGCTATTCCTTATGTTAACTCGCTGTTATCCTCTCTCCTGTTGCCATCTCTAGCACTTGCTGCTCTCCCTCTCTGCTGCTGCTTCCTCTCCGTGCTGCTGCTGGTTCTCGCCGCTGCTGTATTCTGTTCTTTAGGCCCATATCTGTTTGTTCTGGGGTACGTCATTCAGGTGCAAGAAGAAGAGCCCTACAAGAATGCTCACAGAGCGGTTGACAGACTCACCACTTTTGGGGTCACTTGGGAGGGAGACTGCCGAATGCCTGTGCAGTGGGCTCCTGCTGCGAAAGAAGTGTTCGCAGACTTGCAGCTTCCGTGCCCTCAAAGCTTTGCCGGTGATGCCGCTACTGATGGGGATGCTAATGCTGTTGCTGATGAGCGCTGCGGTGAGCGCTGCGGTGTATATACAACGGATAGCAAAAGCAAGACGGACGCCGCAAATGAACAGGTCAAAGAAGAACCCGCAGTTACAGCAACAGCAGAAGCAACGGCAGCAGCAGGTGCCGACGCTGTTGTTGCTGACGAGATTGGAAGGAATGCAGCAGATGAAGTGGAAACTCCGAAACGAGAGCTAGAAACAGCGGCAGAAGAGGCTCAAGAATGTCAGAAATCCGAGGCGCAAGACCCAGCAGCAGCTGCAGGTGGAGATACACCGCGAGGCGGTGAAGATGCGTCTGTGAGCTCGCGCGTCCCGGACACAAACACCGAAGGGAGAGAAGAACTTGTGATGGAGGAGGCAAACAAATTGACTGCTGCAGCACCTGCTACTGCAGAACAAGCGGTGCGTTGAGGAGGTCTACCTGTTTCTGCTCCAAAGAAACGGACAATTAGAATCGCCCTGTATGCCCAAGCAACGGAGGGGGAGATTTATATAGTATATATAGAGTGCATGTATTTGCAGGTGGCTGTGCCTGAAGGTGTTGCCCTGACGGAGAAGGAGAAGGAGGGGCGAAAACTCCCACCAGTTGAAAAAGTGGGAAGCAGCAAGTGCTGTTCCCGTTGCAAAGTGCAGTAGTCAACGCAGATGGCTTCGTAGCCACGTTTTAGTCCATATTTACTAGACTGAGCGTGACGAACTCACCATCCTTTCCTCCTTGGCTGCCCTTCTGTTCTTGGTAGAAGTAACTGCAGAAACAGTCCTCCCCAGTGCGTGCACCTTCAGATCAACAGATGCCCACATATCTGGCTAGCTGGCCAGATCGCCAGCTAGCTAACTAGCTAGCTGCTGCATGATAGCCAGCTAGCATGCTGGCTAATAGCCAGGTAGGTAGCTAACCGCTGCGCGGCCCCCCCTGCCGGTAGTGCAGAGGCGCAGAGGGTGAAAGCGACGGCTTTCGCCATAGAATCGGACATAACGACTCTTTTGATTGCAAATAAGAGAGGCATCGCAATATTGCATGTCAGCTGCCACCCTAGTTTGGATTATTTTTTTGCTGCTGCTGCTAATTTCGCTGTGCGTCTCTTCTTAGCGCTACGATGCTGCTGTAGTCGCAGCAGCTGCTCTTGTTGTTACAGTTATTGGTGCAACAGAGTACCGTCGTCGCTGTCACAGTTCAAGCTGGGGCTGTTGCTGTCGCCACTGTGTGTGCCGTTGGTTGAGCAGCTGCTGCAGCTGGAGTCGTTACTGTATGAATATTTGGAACATTATGCACATCTTAGAAGTTGTGCTTTAGCGTTAGGCAATTGTCCTCTGCATGTCGTCGGTAGCCTTCATGCAGTGGGCTTGCTACTGCTGCCGCAGCTGCATCTCTTTGAGTCAGCAACAATTAGGGGCGAGCAGTACAGCATATCGTTTAGTGTTCCCGCTCAAAATCGTTGCTTTGGAAGCATCACCGTCTTTAGCATGCCATCCTGCACTATATATATATATATATATATATATATA